GGGGTGCCACTGCAGGGATTTTGAGATCACCAGTCTAACAGACTATTTCAAAGTATTTACTAGAAACTTTTCCCTGCAGTAATTTTTTCTACATGTATGGACTTGGGAGGGTTTTTCTGATTTCAAATAGAAAAAAACCTTTCAGATGTGCATTTTCCCAACCTTTAGTTGCAGTCCAGTTTCATCTAAATGTTCCTAAATGAGACTGTTTTGGTCCTGCTAAAGTGCTGGCCTAAGACTAGGAAGAGCCTTGTTCAAATCCCCACAGAGCCATGAAACTCACTGAATCATGTCAGGTCTTTCTGCCCCACTACCCATGAAGCCAATTCCTTCCAAAGAAGTATTGGAACACAAGGCATGGCATTGTGATAACTATTTCCACAGATTCACAATAAGCATGAAAGCAATGGGTACAATAACATAAATAGTTATTTGTTAAAGAAGGCTTTGCTTTTTCTGGAAGTCTTGGGCATTTTTCAGGTCGGTACTAGCTTCCATGTTCTACCTGTCCAACTCTGCACTTGCCTAGAAAAGGTATATGGAGATTATCTTAGTTTTTTTTTTAATGAAGTCTTCAAAATGTGGCAGAATATGAAGTACAGGGGCAACATATTTCTGTTGCTGAATTCACTTCAGTGTGGCTGTTCCTCTTCTCTTAGATAGGGTAAAATTGGGGTAGGGGTTAAGATTATTTGTTGAATAAATTATTCATTGGCTTAAGTAGTTGTCTGTAATTTTAATGCTTTTTCTGTGCAGGACATTCATGCATTTTTAACATAACCTTGGTTTTCAAAAAAAATGCATCTTTAAATAAATCTTTTTTAACTGTTTCCAGTGTGAATGGGAGAATTTGTGAGAGCGACAGGCATACATACTTCATGAAGGTGATGTATATTAGAGTGAAGGAGTGAGGTGACCATCTATGTTTCACACCAAGTGTCTCTGCCCTCATGTTCTTTGAGAATACGGAAGAGCTTTCCTGCTGTAGGCATTTCCTGTACATTCATCATACCCTACTATTCCCAGTTGTTTATGGGTTAATTAGATGACATTGTGACCCTCCTGCTTCACTTGTTTTTATAGAATGCTTTCGGCAAGCTTTGTGTAGAGCACGGGAAATGCAGTATTATATCTGAAAGCAAACTAAAATGCTTCTTCCACTTGTGCCTTCGCACTACTCCATTATATCACATTGCCACCTAGAGGTTTAACAGTAGAAAAGCAGGAAAGGAAATACTCTGTGTAATGCTCAGATCTTGGTTCTGTAAGAACACCAGAGGTAGATAACAGCCTTTTGTAGAAAAGACCTAAGAGCAGAATCCTATATTGTCGCCATTCTTGAGATCCAAGCCCACTACCTGTTACAAATAACTAGGATCATAGGATGAGCTATTATTATGAACTATACCACCTATTAGTGAAGCTCTGTTCCAAGATTCTGTATCTCTTTGGAAATCCAGAATGCAACTCAGCACCCAAATGCAATTTCTAGAACACCTTTATTTAGACAGAAAGTAACACAGGTCAACCCCTTCCCACTTTGCTGCAGTGTCTCTTCTTAGAGCTACTAATGCTGGAGCAAGACTGCCTGGTGGCTTGCCAGGACACATTCTCAGAAGCAGGTGCTGTGCTGTGCTGTTAACAGCTGCTACTTTGGTGTTCAAAGAACTTCCGCAGAGTTCTGCTGAACATTAAATCTTCCTTCTCCCAAGTATTACAGGATGTGGAAAATGCATCCTTTATCTTGGAAGTTCCAGTGTCCAATGTTTTCCTCTTCCAAACGTCAATGAATCTACGGCCTCAAGATGGTGGTGGGAAATCTGTATCATCTTATAGTCCTTCGGATGTCCTCTCGAAGACCGTAAGATTGTTCTGCAACTGTCTGTCTGTAACTGTTTCTCCCATCCTAATTCAATTTGAAACTGGTACCTACCCCCTCCTCAATTTAAATGTCAGCCCAACATATCTGCTCCATATACCCTTGGGCACAAGTTACAATGCCTGGGCTAGAAAGGCTAGCCCTATTAATCTGATTTAACATGGCCTCATTTAAGAGATAGTGGAGTGTCTCAAACTACAAGCAGATTATTCCTGAGGGCAGCTGTATTTCAAGTTATTAAAAAAATAGGCAAGCTCCTAATTATAGAAACAGACAACACAGGAAGCTGTGGTAGTGGAGATTTACTTTTTTAGCATCCATATTAAGCCTGACTCACTGGCATGTGCCATGATGTACATCCAAAGCCACCGTCACCACACATGGATTTCTTCCCAGATTGCTTCACAACAGTGATGTCATGACGCTGCATGTTGCATTTTTTCCAGCAGTAAATATCTTAGTCTGTACTAAACATGAGGCATCAGCTTTTCTTGCTGCCCCTGCCCCTCCCATGGTTTCTCTCTGTGTGTCTTTCCCAGTGAAGAGGAGCGTCAATGCAATAATGTTTCCTCTCTCCCTTCCTTCCTCCTTTCAAAAAATCAAGTTTGGAACATCTTTTCCTGCCTTCCTAGGTGTGTTCTTTGCTCTTTCCATTTTCTTGCCTCTAAAAAACTAGTTGGCAATGCCCTTTCTATGCATGTCTATTCATATCGTATTGTCTTAAAGGCACTTCATCCTGTGAAAGTCAGCATGGGAAAGGGACTACACCACCTTTTAGGAATGGTCTTTGGGAACAGGGGGTACTACATAGAAACATAGAAACAGAGCGAGTCAGAAGGAGCTTCCCAGGCCATCTAGTCTGACCTCCGGCTCCAGCCGGCTCCACTCATGACATGCCTACCATGTGCATGTCTAGCCTATCCTTGAACACCCTCACCGATGGGGCCTCAACGACCTCTCGTGGAAGCCCATTCCACACCCTCGGGGTCCTGACTGTCAGGAAGTGCTTCCTGGCATCCAAATGGATCCTTGGCTCCCTGAGCTTTGCTCCGCTGGAGCGCATCCTGCCTTCCTTTGCAGGGGAGAACAGGTCTCTACCCACCTCCGTGACACCATGGCAGAGCGGGAGGGGAGAACCACCAGAGCGTCCCCTTCTTTTCTTTCTACCCCCTACCAGCATACTTGAGCATACGCTTATTGGATACAGAAGGCCGGGGGGGGGGGCACACGACTTAAAGGCCCACTTCCCAAGCACACGTCACCTTCCAAGTCCTCCTACTTTCCCACAAGTCAATTTGTGCAAGACCTCGTTTCCCACACAGTAGAATCTTCATTAGTATGTGTCCCGACAGTGCTAAATGCATTTTGCATAAATATCAAGAAAATGCTCCCGGATCTATTTATTTAGAAAATTTCTATGCCGCCCCATTCGCCAAAGCCTCGGGGCAGCTTACAAATGAAGGGGACTCTAGTTTAGATCAGCCCCGTGGCAGACCATTAGCTCTTTATGGTGTGCTGTGACTCACTGTAGCTCTCCAGAGTTTTTCAGGCAGGGTCTTTTCCCTGGAAGTTTTGCATCTGCAGTAGCATCGAGCTTTGGCTCTTCGCAATGGATGCTCTTAAACCACGCGACTTTTTTGTACGTGCGATCTCAAATCAAATGTATTAAAGGATGGGTGGGTTTTGAGAATTGCTTTGAAATCATTCCTCTCAACATCAGATCTTTCTAGAGATGTCCACAATTTGCCAGCAGAGGGCAGAGCAACGCAATGTAAAGCATCTTCTCTGAAATCTGCAGGCAAGAAAAAGCACTTGGACATTTGTTTCTTTACAGCAGCCTTGCCCAATCTGGTGTCCTTCAGAGGCATTTGGACTGCAACTCCCAGCATTCCCATCCAGCAGGGCCATTGAGTGAGAATTCTGGGTGTTGCAGTCCACATGTGTCTGGAAGGCACAAAGGCTGGTTTACTGCACTGATAACCTGCCTTTCCTCCAAGGAGTCAAGGCAGTATTCATTCAGTTTACATACCAATCCAAACCAAACAGATTCACACTTCCCGAATCAATTTCTCAACTCAAATACAGTTGTCCTTCGGTATTCACACTTCTCTGGATTTCATAATGCAATTCTCGGAACAAAAAAGGTTACCAAAAATGTCCACTTTGGGGAAAGGGGACAGAAATATGCCTATGTTGGTGAAAGAAGTGTATACCCCCCCATTAAAAAAATATATAAGGCTTGCAAAAATCTATTTACTCAGAGAAATGCACAGAAAGGTTTTTGTATGGACTTCAACTAGAATTGAGAAAACTGATGGAGCAACGGAGACCACGACAAAGTATGTGAGTTTGCAAAACTGTCAGATTTGGTCATACCACAGTGGCATACAAGGGGCATTCCTCTGCTCCCATTTGTGCATCTTTATTTTGGAGTTACTTAAATTTTAACTATGTTCAGATTACATTTACTCCCTTTGATACTTGTGGAAGAAAGTTAAAGCCAAACTATGTGTGATGATCAGACACATGATTAATTTCAAAGAGCAGGTTTTGACTTTTAGAGCCTTAAATGTTTAAGATGAATTCAGTGAAAGGGCCATCTTCACCCACATCACCTTGCCTGCACTTTATCGATCAGTGATAGAGGAGCTTCTTACTTGGCCTCCTTAAAAGTGCACGAGAGAGGGTATTTTCTGCCGTAGCCTCAGACCTCTGGAATGGTCTGCCCGATCATTGCAAGTTTTCAGGAAGATTTGCTTTCGCTCGCCTTCCTCTAAAGAAACTTTATGAGATTATGCTGGTGTGTTGGTGTAACTGTGTTGCAGATTTTTTAATTTTGCTTGCAGACATTTTCTTGCTGTTGTTTGTTATTTGGATTAAAGGACTCAAGGGGTCCTGACTTGGTGCACTCTTCAAGCAACAAGGATGAGAGGAGCAAAACTGTATTTTATGCTCAAGAATAGTTTGACTGCAAGCAAAAGGGCAATTGACCTAGAGGACATAGTAGAGTTCCCTTTGATAGCTTTGATGACCAGGGAGCAATGACAGATGCACATTGGTTCGAAATTCCTGCTGCAAGTGCTGATTGGTACATTTGAATTCACGTGGTTCCTGTACTTACCTGGGAGGCTGAGCTACCTGGGGAGTCCCAATCCTTAGCCATATGGAGGGCTCTGGTTATATGGATGATGCTTGGGGACATGGCCCGCATGCCTGGGCTTAATGCTGTCCAGCCAGGTTTGTCCTACAGTATGAATCTTTCTGCTTTATTTCATTATGGGTTTCATTATTTGGATTTCAGTGTTGTAAGCTGCCTTGCCTTGACTTTTGTCCTGAATGGCAGGCTAGAAACATTTTAAATAACAACACATTTTGAATAATAGTAATAATAGCATAATAGTAATGATTCTTTTTCCAGGGTTTTTTTAATGGAGCTGAGGAGAGCATTGCGCGGGGGTGGGAGGCAGGGAGAGAAGCTGCTTTACTCTGTCAACTTTTGTTTGTCCAAAATCATGGCTTCCCAAACTTTGGTCACAGCTGAACTGTGGACTGAATCTGCTCCTGTTCTGCATACAAGTGCCCCCCTGTGTTATGGGATGAAGGCATGTTCACCTCCTTCCAACCCATCTTTCTGACTTATATGGTGAGAGCCACTAATGTTCATGGTGGCATGAAAATAGTATTTACTTCACCACCCTTTTGGTCCTTATGATGCAATCACTCATCTCTTCCTTCAACTTATCTGGTCTCTCTGAAGGTATATCAGGGCACCAAGGGGTAGTAAAATGGTACCAACTGGTTCATTTGGAACTTACTATCACTGCTGATCCACAGTTAATTTGTACAGGGAATTCCGCTGGGAATTGTGAGAGATGAGTTCCCTCTGGCATTTGAGACAGCTGGAGTGACTAAACACAAGAAATGTTAGCAGGGCCATGCTGTTTCTTGTTTAGGAAATGGGTGCATAGTTGTGTTACTCATTAGCAGTTAATGGCTTAGCTTGCAAGGACAGGAAGGAATGTCTACACATACAACAGAGAATATCTGATTTTTCCTGATTTCCCCACCACCGCCTGCCCTCATATACATGCAGTACTCTGAAAAATCAAAATCCAAAGTAAGTCTTTTAGGAAATTATCAGACAAAGCCATGTGGATAGAACTGAATTGAATTATTTTTAATACCTTTAAAACACTGAAAATACTAGAAATGCACTAGAAAACTGCATTTACAACCAGCTTCATCACACAATGTCACAAAAGCCATGAGGCTTAAGTAAATATGGTTGGCTAGTTTGTGGACCATGAGTATGGCCTTCCACCACTTAAATGGGTATATTTAATTATCATATTCCACTACAAATGATCATGAAGAAGGATCTTGTATTGAGGAACTCTCTCACTCCAAAGATCCAGAGTTAGTGACTCACCCAAAGTCTCTCTTAGAGCTTCATGGCAAGATCGCTGGGATCTTAGTCCAATGTTCTAACCACAACACTACAATGGCTCTTGTTCTGGCAATCATTTTTTAATTAGTCTGGTTAGCATGTTTTTGGGGTTTTTTTTAAATCCTGAAACTCTACTTTTTATGATTTTTATGGTTGCATTTTAACAATAAGGAGATTTAAACGGTATATTTCTCTTTGTTTTCTGCCTTAGGCTTTCCCAAATAGAAAGAAAGGACACCAATTCACTGCAATACATAATACAACAAGTGAAACACCAATGCACAGACTCTTTAGAAAGTGGTTTTCAAATATTAGAACCTCATTGTTTTGATAAAATATTGGCCAACTTCCAGGTAAAGTTAAGATTTTTAAATTCCAGTGCCTTTGATGTTAAATACTCACTTAACTTTAAGGTGCTTAACTTTAGCTGATTATGAACACTATCGCCTTAGTGCAACCACTTTGATTCAGTCATAGTAAAACTGAGCCTCCAAATATAGGGAATTTTAGTAGGAATGTACATGCATAGCACAAATCAAATATGGGCAGAAATTGCCCTCAAATATATGGCTTAAAGATTTGTTAAGAAAAATGGTTAAGTATGACCTTATGATTCATTTGGTTTTAAATAAATGAGAAACTTCAGCCCAGGTCCTGGAAGAAACTGAGGAAGATGCATAGATATCAAAGAAAGTTGAATTGGCAGAGGAGTGATGGTGGAAATTACTTTCTGAAGCAAAAGAAGTGCTGCTTCACACTCCATGCTGCAGTTAGCACGGAAGAAGCACAAGTTGCATGCTACGGACAGTCATGAAATATTTTCTCTTTAAAACAGCCTGCAGATCTACATGACAATCCCTGGAGATGTTTTAAATTCTGCCATTCGGGAGAACCAAGTCAGAAAAAGAGACAATACCCTATTCAGACTAACATACGGGTTTTAAGGAATGTATCATACATATTTTTTCAGTACCAATAAGCAATTCCAGATGGTAACAATGAGAAATCTAGCATGATAAAATGTCTGCTAGGTATATCAAACACTATCATGGCATTTAAATTCTCTCTCCCTCCCCCTATCCTTCCTCTCCTGCCTCTGGACTGTGGATCACCTACCTTGCAATAGTTGGCCATACCTTCACAGACTCATAAAACCCGAAGTATGGAAGCAAACCTATGGTGCAATTGTATCACCCCCTACATTCAGTGCACGTCAGCCTCCACACCTGCAGGTTTAGGTGCATCCTATGCCCTGAATGAGGCACAGCAACCTTGTGTCCTGATTTGTATCTAGATGGCCAGGTGAGGACTGGTGTGGTGACATGGTTAGAGTGGCTGCATGGGGACCCAGGAGATCCTGGTTCTAACCCCCACTTGACCATGAAGCTCACTGGGTGACTTTGGGCCTGTTATCCGTCTCACAGGGTTGTTTTTGTGAGGATAAAATGGGGCTGAGCCACCTTTTGGTTCCTCATGAGGGGAAAAAAGTCAGGATATAAACAAATCTTTTAAAATCAAATACATGCACATTTTGTTCTTGCACATCATTTTCTCAGCTTAGAGAGTGTGCCTATTTCAGGGAAACAGGACACAAATCCTTCTCTGTGCATTTTTCGTAAAGTCTAACATTTAGTACCATATAATACAGTTGTTATACATGTATTTTTAAGTGGCATGGATTGCTGAGCCATCTACACCTCTGGAAACAATTGAAGACTTATTTCGCAAAGAAAAACCCTATCTCCAAAATCACAAGCAGACAAAAATACTCATAATGCTGACGCAGATCAAAGTTTCCAAATGTACACACTCTCTTAAAAACATTAGTCTAAAATCTTTTGACTCAACTTTTCCTTAATGCCAAATAAGCTTGTCAGAATGTCTCCAGAGGCCTGTTACAAAAGGATATACCACAGTGGTTAATTTTAATACGAGGCTTTTAAAGTTTGATTTTAGTTTTAAACAAAGGTCTAGACAGCATAAAGCTGTACCTGGCACTAATGAAATACAGAACTTACATGGACTAGCAGGAAAAAAGCACTGCTCATAAAGGTTTGATGACTTGACCCAGCACTATTAAATTTGGAAGCTGGATCAGACCAGTGCTCTTCCTTATGTTTTGCTTAATTAACAGCAGAATGTGATGCACGTTCCCTCAGAAGCTGTTTCCCATTAACTTCAAAATGCAATCAGGAAAAAACTCGATCTGACAGTTCACTGGGACTGCACCTCCAGCCTCATCCATTGGCCCAAGAACCAAGGGCCTCCAGGAAGCTGCAGCCTCTGGCTCCTGGGGAGAGCATCACAGCAAGGAGAAGACTAACCTAGCTCCAGACATCAACCAGAGGAGGAACAACTACAAGGGGGGTGTTTTCCCCCCTTTAAAATGGGTGCCTTTGTTTTTGAAACTTTGAAAATGGTGCCTGGTTTTTGCTTTTACTTCCTCCCTCCAAATCTCTCCTCCTTTTGTGCTGTGTTTGTTATATTCTAAGCCTGAGGGCAGAGACTGCCTTATTATTAATCTCTGGGAATCCTTTTGACTGAGAGTATCTTTTCAAACCTTCTTTATTGTCTCCTTTGCCCTTCTGCCTCAAGAAACAACTAGCTGAAACACATATCTACTCAGAAGTAAATCACATTATTGTCAATGGAGAGAGTGGAGCTTGTGGGGTCAGCCAAAGAGAGGGGCTGCACTTCCTTGCTTCAGGTGAAGGGAATGGGGCTGCTGCCCCATGGGAGGCCTGCAGCAAACTGCCCCACAGCCCCTCTTCACCTTTCTCTTCCTCCATTTTTTGCAGGAGAACACTCCCAACTTACATGCTTTTTAATGACTTTGCCCCTTTACTCCTTCGCATTGCACCTAACTAATTTAAGGGCCATTTCCTTGCACATATAATCTTTTCAACTCCTGCTTTTCTCACTGTAGCATTTGTGTGTGACAATGAGATCACAAGGAAAACTATGCTGCTTTTCTTAGTATGTGCCCCAACTGTGATAAACGAATTCTACACAAACACTGAGTCCATGATCCCTCGAAAATGGAAGGGGCTCTAGTATAGATCTCCCCTAGGACAAAACAAAACACAAAACAAAGACAGAGAGGGAGCCATCAACATATCTGCAGAAGAGAATACTTCTTTTATCACGTTGAACCAATTTCAGGCCCTGCATGCCAAATGCATGTGAGCACAGATAGAGCTTTCAGTAGCATAAGTGTGGGAAGATGAACCCCAATACTGGGTTTCAGTGTTGGAACTCTGCCCAGTAGCAACTGACATAGTAATAATGAAGAGGTTGACTCTGAGCATGTACAGAATTCAGACTGAGAAGGAATAGCCAGTCTCTGCAACATTGCCATCTACTTGTTTATGACGGCCACTTTTAATTCACCGTGCCCACTGTATGTGTCTGCCTGTGTGTGTCATATTCTCTGGGCAAGTGTGTAGCGCTGCTACATGAATCATTGTGCCCGTGACAAATTATTTTTGGATCATGTTGGTTGGCCATCAAATGTATCCTAATTGTTCCTGTCTCTGTGTATATGGAGGCTTCACCATAAATAGCAGTCATCTTCCCACAGTTACAAATTATACAGATTTGATGTCTCATCTAATCAGAAGCAGACAAACACAATGGAGAGTTAGCTGCTTCACCCAGGACCTTGACAGATTTGTCTTCCTTTCGACAAACATTATGGCTTTCTTGTAGCAGGAATATAGACAGCCCTTAAGTCTCCCAAGATCCCTCAGTCCCTG